TAAAGTAATTGACTTTAAAACAATTCTCTGGTATACATAAAATTTTACCATTTACTAAAGACAAAAGCAACTCTGCATGCTAATGAGAAGGATATGCTTGTTTATTTTCACATAAAGAATTAAATAATCGCTGAATATTTGATACAGCAAGATAGAAACATCTTCAGTGTTTCCAGGAGTTTTGCTGATATTTTGATTTTATAATGGACAGTATAATCCACAATGTTGAGAATGCCACTTTGCATAAATACATAGCATTAAATGGTAGAAGTGGGTTTAGGGCTGTTTCAGAAATTGTAGAAAATTTTACAGTAATACCCAAGCCAAAATTCATTTAACAAATTTTTAATGAAACCAAGGTCAACAACAAAACACACAATTCTTAAAATCAATCTACCACAATACAAAGATATACTAATTTATTACTTACATGCTGAGGAATGATTATAGGAAAATGCTAGAAAAGTTTGTTCTCTGAAACTAAGCTATTACATAGCTGTAGGAGCAGCAAGCCTTGTACACACAGTAAAAGCACAGCAGTCATACCACCTAATAGTCTATCTGAGCTCAGTGTTCTGGGCACCATCTGTTGGCACCGTGTGGTGTGGCAGAACTAGCAGTACAAAGTAAGCATATTGTCTGTTAGGGACAAAAGCTACCGTGCAACTGTGGATGCAGCACAGGACAGGGCCGCCAGAAGGACCTCAGGTTCACTGTGTGCTGATTTTGAATTGATTTGGGTTATTCAGGACTTTTTACTGTTGCCAGACATTTTGGGATCCCGTCGTCTGTCACAATGACTCTATATGGGGTTGCAATTCACAGTATAAGAAGTTGTGGTTTAAAACATTAAAAATGTGCATGTTTATAATTATTTCCTGTTTATTACAAGTAAAAATACAGAAATGTTGCTGTTGCATTCTGAGAAGCTATGGGAAAATCAAGCTCAGATCATCAAACACAAAAGCAATTGCTTTAATTAAATTAGAGCTGTCAAGTAACCAGATTGATTAAAATAAGCCCTATTAGGAAACTGAATTAAAGGCATTTTCATGTTTAAAATCGATCCTTTGGATGGTATGAAAATTTTAATTAGCCAGGTAAAAGATATACAAACTAAATTTAAAATTATAATCTGTGCAAAGACCTAGAAACCCTTATCATGATCAAAACAAATAGGCTGAATTGAGGAGGTGGTTCAGTGGGCAAACTTCTTGCTCCTTAAGCATGAGGACCTAAGTTCAGATCCCCCAAACACACATAAAAGCTGAGTATGTGCCAGAGCGTGAAGACAGGCAGAACCCTAGGGCTTGTTGATCAGCCGTTGTAGCCGAATGGCAAGCTCTAGGTTTAGATCCTATGTCAACAAATAAGGTGGATAGCAGTAGAAGAATGCGCTCAGTGTTGAAACTCTGGCTTCCACATGTACATGTACAGGTGAGGACATACACACACACACACACACACACACACACACACACACACAAAGGCGTGATAAGATAAATCCAAAACTTACCCATCAAAACAATGCGCAGCAGTCAGGATCCATTGGCGTCCAATGATAGACCCACCACACAGATGATTCTGAGTTGTCAGCTTCACTTGCAGGCTGACCTGCCAAGGCCACTCCCCTAAAGAAGAGTTCGTTCCTCCCACAATGCGCACATTTGTTTTCGTTGCACAGGCTATGGTCAAAATGAGAAGTGAATCAGCATCCCCTCCGGCCAAGGAAAGATAGAGATGACTCATTCATAGAAGACTAAGGCATCAGTCATAACAACCCAGTGTCCCCTTGCAGTTTCTCAACAAATAAGTTTTACTCACTAGAGCTATCCCCAGCTTCACACAATCTCAAGGAGTAACCAGAGCTCCCTTGTATCCCATAGGTGATCCTAGTTGGAGAGCCATCCACAGATAATCTTAAGGAACATCTACACCTGGATAAAATGAATAGTACAAAATCAAACCCACAGAGAAAACTGAAATTATCTCACCAATCATCAAAGTAATGTTCCCTTACTTCTCTCCCTTGCAGTCATTCGGGAGTAATGAGTATGTAAAGAACTGGCAGCGAATTGTCTTGGTACAAGTCTCTTGGCAAGCCCCGACTCCATGCACAAAAGTCCTATTCAGTTCTTCTCCTCCAAAATCAGCTCCAGAGTAAATTTTGAAATGGCAAGGCTCTGGACCAAGAACAAACATCAAAAGATACATAATGAAACAGGTAGTAAGCCCCAGTAATACAGGTTTCTTAGAGTCTTGAGGACAGTTTCATCAAATGACTGTTAGAAGATTCCAAGATCTGTCACAAGACATGCAATATCATTATTGAATCACATTACCAGGAAGAGTTCTTCTGCAGGTGGAGAGACTGTGTCCAGATATAGCGTTTTCTTGAGGAGTGAAGGAACTTGGTCTCCCACTTTGAGAAGTCTTCAGGAGACAAACATTTCTAATAAAAAAATAAGAGAAAAAAGAAAAGAAAAGAAACTGCATTAAAGGCCTTAGACAAACACAGAAACTGCCTACATCAAAGAAAAAAAAAGCAACTCTGCACATTGTATTTGTCTGAGAAACTCTCTTCAAAGTAAATCAGACCCCAGAACTCCAAAGTATTACAGAGATTAAATGTAAAGTGAGCCACATCTCCCTCCGTTGTAAACTAAAACGTACAGATAACCCCCCCAAAAGAGGACAGAGGTTAAAATTTCACCTTCTAAATATAAAAAGAAAATAGGAAAAAGAAAAACATCAAAGAATAAACTATCTGGATTTATGCTACCATGACATCACATCCGTACACATCCTTCTGAGGGCCCCACACTACACATAAAGGAAAGAATAAGTTATCTAAATGAAAAGAGGTCAGACTAGACCTTTGATCAGGACAACAGGGCTCCGGTTTCTCAGAGGCTTAAAGGATATACTGCAGGAGCAGTTCTTACCACAAGCTAATTCAAAATCTTAATGCCAGTAAGAAAGGTATCTGATCTCTTTATTCACAAACAGATCTGTTCACAGTGCTGTTTTTTGACTCAAAGTTCTGTTTGTTTTATGTAAGAGGATGTGTAGATGAATCCACTAATCTCTTAGCTAATCTGCACATAACAGAAAAGCAGCTACTTAAACTAGAAGCTCCAGTGTTTTGAGAAAAATCAACAAAGAGCTTTCAGATCTCAGGCTAAGAAGGGAAATGGTTAGAAGAGATCAGCCCACCCATATTCACCTTTGTGATTCTACCTTCCATGCATTTGTATAGAATGTGAAGAAGAGGCAATTGGGGTGGTAGGTGCAGATGGTACGACACACAAAAGCATCCGGGGTGATGATTCGGGCCACATTCAGGTCTGCAAAGGCAAGGTGCTGGAAAATATCCATGGAGCAACCTGTGAACTCACCAATGAGAAATGTTCCTCCGTCAATGAAGTAATCTTAGGCTTGCTTATGCTTTGTCATCATAACTAAAGCAATATGACAATTATTTAAAGCTCTAAGCATCCTAAGTTAAAATTGCCTGTTAAGATAGCCCCAAGTTTGTTGTTTGTTATTTAGAAAAAAAAAAGCAAAACTTGTTTTAACTTTCGAGACAAATCTCTACATCAGAGAAGGAAAATAAGTCATTCTCCATTAAAGCAAAATATTTAGGTGACCCAACCTGCGTTCATGTTTTCTTTGTATTACCCAGACCCTTAATCAGTCTTAGGAACATGATGTTTCATATTTTGTTTCTGAGTATTATAAGAAGCATTATAATAAGAAGAAATTTCAAAAATTCCAAGGAGCTAACAAAAAAAAAAATGCTACTTGATTTTAGATCAGAAAAAAAGCTCATTTTCATTCTTACAGAATTTTATTCCCCAAGTCTATTTTTGTTTGTGCTCTGTTCACATGACTTACTCAATTTGATAGCACATTAAATTCTATTTAAAGTATGGACAGTTAAATAACAATGATAAGACAGTCAAATTTAGTATAGTTGTATAAAGAGAGAACACTTGCCAAGCACTTCATTTGAGCAGTCTAGGAAGTTAGACATCAACTATTTGAATTAAAGAACAAACATATACAGACCCCTAAAGCTGGAGGAGAAAGTACAGGTGCCAATACTGATCTGAATTACATCTTCCCAAGGCACTTCTGACAGACTGTTTTACAAGTTTATTCAGACATTTGTAGTTGAAAAGGAGTTTGCCAACTGTGGCAAAGTTCACTTCTTTTCTGGACCACTGGAGAGGTCAGGAATTTTTTTTCTTGTTTCCTAAAAGTCACATCTATCTAAGCCAACCCTGTAGAATCATATACTAAACCCCTTTCTAATGACAGCCTTTCAAAATAGAAAAGCAGACATTATCAAAAACCAAGTGGTCAGCCTATCAAGGGTCACCCCCTTAAAGAAGATCAACTCTCCCTCACCCAGCAGTCATCACTCTAGATAGGCTGACTAGACTCCAGTGGTTGGACTTGTACTGAGGGACATCTGGATACAAAAGCTTGACCAGATAGCCTTTAACATATATGACAGAATGCATGAAATTCGGGGGTGGATTCTGCAGAAGGGTTTGTGGATAGGGGAGGAGCCCTAAATATGAAGTGTATTTATTGTATGAAATGCACGAAAACTCAAGAAAATATACATAAAAATCAAGTGGCCATCTTGACTCTTTTTCAAGTTGTGTATTTAATTTGTTTTATTCATTCTACAATTTTACATGACTTGTAGGTACTTTGAATCCTCTTTGTCCTTGTTTTCTGTTATCTAGTTCTCTGTTGCTCCACACAAAATGTGGAATCAGAAGTAAGCAAGATAGGCATCTCCATGTTCCAAAGACTATTTGCTTTCTAAAGCTAGATTAGCTATGCATATCAAAAGTATTACAAAATATTAGAGTATGAGAACAAAGACCTCCAAAATCCATCTCCTCCATCACTGTGAAGAGCACCGGCAAAAGGATCCATATCAGTGGTTTCAGGACTCTGGAAATTACCCAAAGGCACATGATAATCCAGGAGCCATTATGCAAGAAAAATGGCTGCCCTCAGCCAGGGCAGAGAGCTGTGTGGAGTTTAACTAGCCCTGCATCCATGCTTTCTCCTTAGCTCCACAGAGCCCAGGAAAACCATCCTCTAATCCTGATCAAAACCAACAGCTTAGCTACCACTGGGGTGCCTGAACAGTTGGAGTTGCTTCAAAGCCACATCCCCAATTTCCAGAGACCTGCCATAACATGGATATTCCCTGGAAAATCTTACTCACAGGCTTAAATTTATTTGACCTGACTCTGATTTTGTTTACTCTTAGCAGCTTTCTTCTTGGAGAGGAAGAAGAGAGGAGACAGGAAGGGAGCGAGGGAGGGAGGGAAGGAGAGGAAGGAGTAGGAGGAGGAAAGAGGAGAGAAGGGGGTGGTGGGAATTAATCATGGTGATTTTTAACATGGCAGTTGCCTCCTAAGGTAGTAATAACAGTTGGGGCAGATACTAAGTCAATAATATGGAAAGAATTGTCTCAATCAGAATTGCAAACAATACTTTACCATTAGCACAGGAAATGTGATTTTCGAAATCCATGCAGGATGCTGATGAAAACGAGTCTTTAAACCCAGCACTTCACGAGTTGAGAGTTAAGAAACTTGGCATTACATTACAAAAGGAGGGACGGTATCTGAAATGTGTGTGACTGTGTTCAAGGGATAGCTTTTAACCCCTAGGAGTCACAGTTTTCATCTGTCAAACCAGAGACATTGTTGGTGAAAGTAAAGACGAGGATATATAATGACTACAAGTCACCCCTAACTTACTGATTTAATTTGAGCCATAGGCACAGAGACAGCCTTCTTATGCATTTAATTGGCAAAGAACGTAGAGTCATAAGACCTTGGACCACTCCCTGAAATACCCAGAATTTTTATAACTCATAAAGGACATTTAATTGTCCATTCAGATTGTCCCATCAGATTGAAGAAACATATGAACTCAATGCACCTTAGTGGAACGCAGGCACTGAGAAGTGTGAGACTGGGCATGTAAGGATCCTTAAAGGATGTGGACAGCGCTAGTGAAGGACTTGAAGCAGGACATCTTGTCAGTTCTCTGCTAAGTGCAGCACGTACATGCAGCAATATGCTGCTATGATTTGAATGTGGTTTGTATCCAGCAAAATCCTATTGATGTTGGGTCCCCAGTGTTCAGAGGTAAGGCCTAGTGGGAAGACGTGAAGACATGGGGCGGGGGGCTTCATGAATGGAGTAATACTTTTCTCACATGAGTGAGTTCTTGCTCTCACTGAACTGAGTTGTTACTCAGGGGCAGGTTGCTACAAAGCAAGGCTTTCTCTTGTGTTTTGTCCCTTCCACATGTGCCTGCTTGACATTCTGCATTTTTCTACCATGTTGCAATGTGGCATGAGTTCCTTGCTAGATGTAGCCACACAATCTTTAGCTTCCTAGCCTTCAAAATCATGAGCTAAATGATCTTTTCTTTATATATATGGCTCAGTTCTCTGGTATTCTGGTACAATAACCGAACATAATTTAAAATAAGCACAATGTACAGAATGGAATAGATTTTAATAAGGAGCCCTACCCCATGTGGTCAAACCTTCAAAAGCTTTCCAGCAAAAGAATAAAGGTATTAAAACCAAATAATCAACAAATTTGAACCAATAAATACTGCACACAGGATGGAGGGGATATGTTGGAGAAAGAAGAGACGAAAAGGAAAAGAGATAGCTTGTTTCTGACTTACCAGTCTTTCACAGAGAGGTCACAGTCTAGAACTCAGCACCCAGCACAGATCATGGCACAGAGCCAGTGCTCAGTGCTATGTAGCATGCACTGACTAAGTGATTTGTTCTCAGTAATAGCTTACTATTGGCACCAATAATGGGATTACATGACATCTGTCTGGATAATTCAATAGAATTATTGGATTTGTCTGAAAACAATAGGATTTTATTGATTCATGGTGGTAGGGTTGGTTCACTAGATGCAGACACCATAAAAATATGAGCTTAACATTTTCTCTAAAATGTCACTGTAGTTCTTTCTTAATGCTGTTGCTATAGGAATATTATAGTAAACTAATAGGCTCAAGCAACATAAATTTATTATCTTATAGTCCCAGAGATCAGACATCCAAAATGAGCCTTACTGAACTATAGTTAAGAGGCCAGAAAGGTTTTGATCCTCTGTAAAGGTTTGTAGCAGAGTCTGTTCCCTTGTATTTTTCACTCAGAGTTCATGGGCATTCCTTTACACTGGGACCCTTTTTCCAACTTTAAAGCCATCAATGTAACCTTTTCAAGTTTTTCTCTGATGCTGACCCTTCTGCTCTCCTCTGTGTTTTACAAAGACCTTTAAGACTAGATTGGATATAGTCCCATAATCCAAATTAATTCTTAATTCAGTCTTTCATTTGATCACATCTACAAAGACCCTCTGGCCAAAACACACCCTATCCACAGATTCCAGGGAAGAGCACATGAATATTTCTGGGAACCATCACAATTGTATCCAGTTACCAATTTCTGAAAGTGCACAGGGCTTTAATGAAAATCCAGATACGAGGTTGTTCAGTGTCTTTATGCTGGTAGGTGTTCCACTTGGACTGTGTTTCAGTAGGCAGTTGTTCCTGAATGGGAAGAAAAAAAGTTGTTTTGTTTCCTGTTTTATAAGGTGCAGGTAATGTTTGGTGTTGAAAGGATCCATGAGCTGTGAGAAAACGAAGGCAAACCAACAACAATCCTGATGATACATGGGTTGGTAGTTTTATTAATCAAATGCATACTCTTCTATGGAGGGAAGTTTAGGGTAAGAATGGGGTGGCAGACATCATCCTATGACATCAAACCTTCATTCCATACACAGCCTATCAATGGACCAAATTGAGTTCACTACCTTTGGCAGAAGAATGTCATTGAAATATAAATATCTAAGGAAAAAGGTCAGGACTAAATTCCTTCTTGAATTTTAATAGGATAAAAAGGAGTTAGAAAGAATGCAATTATATCCTGAACGCATCATCACAGAGAATAATTCCTATGAATTTTACTTACCCATATTCCACATTGTGAAATGTTTGCATGGCAAATGTGAAAAATTGGCAGTGAATATTATTGGTGCACAGTTTCTGGCATTCTTCAACACTTTTTACTTTAGAAATATTAAAATTGGACCCTCTCATATCAATTCCTTTGTAAATGTCTCGGTGGCAAGCTGTGTAAATGAAATACAGAGAGAAATTCAGCCAAACTGTTTTCTTGAAATAGGCAAACTACTTTTACTATTTGAGGAGAATAATTTTGAAGGCCCAAACCCAATTTTCGGGGACTGACTACAGGATATAAAATTTGTGTTGCACGTTTACGTTATCAAACTCTGCTTAAAACAAGCATACTCTAGTCCTTCACTTAGGGCTGAATGGTATACAACAGCATTTCTTAAATCCTTATCAGTGGCCCTACATGTGGCTAGAAAGTCCTCTCTTGTGAGTAACTGTTTCATGTCTACTAGAATTTGTTGCTCTATCATAAAACAGCATCTCCCTCAAGTGCAGCATTCAAAATATCTCTAGACATTGCCAGGTGTTCTTTGAGCTGGAAAGGACAGAACCATTAGTGGTTCAACGCCATTGGGGAGAACCACAAATTGCCCTCAAGTGAACTTGGGAGCAAGCTGTTGCCTGAGGCTTTTTTTTTCACTCTCTTGTCTTGAAACAAGGGAAGACTGTTGTTTGGATCACAACTCACTTTCTGCAAATCTTACATTGTGCATTAGCATCATAAATCATAGAGGCCCATTAGGTATGCACATGATCACTGATAGAGGCAAGAACATTATCAAGATAAATGCATCCCTCGTCTATGGCCATGATATTGCTTCATTTCTTCTGTTATCTTTCTTGGCATTCTCTTCTAAAACTCCATGATGGTACACACTTTGAGCAAAAAAATAGTCTAAATTAGTTTTTTTAGCTCAAGTTTAGTTGAAAAAAATCCACATCTTACCACTTATTTGATGAGCACACTGCTTTAAGGAATGACCAGAAATTGCATTTGTTCGGTGTCCTCTTGGCAGGGTTCCTGTAATGCTGTCTTTCAAGAAGCAACCAAATCTGTTTTGTTTTTTTTTTAAAAAAAAAAAAAAAAGATTCACTTAGGAAATAGAATAATAAACATACATTGAGGAAACATTCAACATTTTAAATAAGTAAAGCCTGAAATTTCCTTACTGCAGCATTCCTTGACATTCGCTGAAAAGGACACTCTTAAAGACAATTTCAAAATATGTAACAAACTCTGAAATACCTGACTGCAAACTTAAAAAAAGTTTAAATGCGAAAAACAATCCATAGTAAAGAGTTAATGATTATTCCTATGTTTTTAACTTTCATGGATCTGTTTCCCAATTGGTAATTGTTTGGGGTTTCGTTTTTTGTGATGCTGAGGATGAAACCCTGGGCTTCATGCTGGACAAGCTCTACATCCTCCATTCCCTCCCTTGTACCCCACACCCTATTTTTATTTAGCTTATTTTGAGACAGAGTCTTGTTAAATTGCCCAGGCTGACTTTGAACTTATGATCCCCCTGTATGAAACACCAAAGTTTTCTAAGGTCGTAAATATTACTAATATTTTAACTTACTAAAAAGTAGAATAAGTCATTAATTGAGTCTATATACAATGCTCATCGTGCTTTAACTTCTGATAGTCTATATCTAATAGAAGATTTTTTGTTTATAATGTCAATTTTTCTATTAGTTTCAACTTTTAATATGGGTTTTCCATGTAGGTTATCATGTAGGGACTAATGAGTGTCCAATGTTTACTAATATTTTAACTTACTAAAAAGTAGAATAAGTCATTAATTGAGTCTATATACAATGCTCATCGTGCTTTAACTTCTGATAGTCTATATCTAATAGAAGATTTTTTGTTTATAATGTCAATTTTTCTATTAGTTTCAACTTTTAATATGGGTTTTCCATGTAGGTTATCATGTGGGGACTAATGAGTGTCCAATGCCTAATCATTAAACTCAAATAGAATGAAGATGAAAGTTTTGTGTGTGTGTGTGTGTGTGTGCGCGCACGCGTGCGCACGCGTGCGTGCATGAAAATGGGAGCAAAAACTTGTATTCTGGCTATTGATCAAATAAAAGAAAATTAAGGTAAAGCTGTGGCTGTGTGTAATAAGCATCTTCACAACCTAACCAGAATTTTAATTAGCAACTAGATTCTAATACTTGTACTTCTCTAAATTATCAGTTCATAACACACACACACAGACACACAAACATATTCACATACACATACACACATGTATATACACACAACACACTCCAAAAGCCCCAATAGGCATCATTAACGCCTGCTTCACACAATGTCACAATTCTAGATCTCAATTCTATTATCAACCAAATTCCTGGTTTGTCTCACTCATACTTTACTACCCATATATATGGTAATAGCTCAAACAATTAAATATACTTCCTTATGCAGGTGAAGCATTCATCTGTTACGAGACTCTTTCATGATACATGCTTTGCTCTTAAGGCTTTGGATAAAGCACAGCTACCTGCTCCTACTTTAAACAAGTAAAGAAATTTGTGGTTCTTTAAAACAAAGAAGTTGTCAGGAAATTGAGAGGGAGTGGCGTGTCATGGGAGGAGTTGTGGGGGAGGAAAACAATATAAATATATAAAATTCTCAAAAAAAAAACTTAAAAAATAAAATAAAATACAGACTGGTCAGGTCCAAGAGACTTTGGCCCAGTAACATTGTTTGCAGTCTAGGAGTCTGAAAGAAACTTTCTAGGAGCTAATGATGAAACCAATCTTTGAACCCTTTCAGAAATACTGCACTTTTTGGCACACACTGGAAACATTTTGAGAAATGCCTAAGTCTGCCAATGGTAAGATATTCACCCTTTACCTTTTTTCTGGCTCATGGGTTGAATTTGCTGGGAGAAAGCTGAACAGCAAACACCTGGGGTGGAATGTGCACATCTTCTGACAGTACCGGGCATCCGGGGTGTACATGGCAGCTAGGTCCCCACCTCTGAAGAAGGTATTTTTATACAGTTGAGTCAGACATCCTGAGGTATAACCATTAAAAAAATGATTCAGAAAAAAACATGCAACAATTTTACTAGAAATGTATCTACATGTCCGTTGACCTTCTTATTTCTTCCAATTTCTTTTAAAGATGTTTACAACTTGACTTTAACTACAGAGGCAGAATGAAACATATTACAACTATTTAAACAATATATAATGCCATTTAAAGTCACTTTCTGGGCACTTACATATAAAATTTGATTATCTCTTTATTGACTAAACAATCATTTGCACATAAGTTGTCTCTAGTAAAATACAACACTGATTTGTTTCCTGCCTGTTGTCTAACATGCTGTGAAAATATCACGCCTTGAAAATGACAGTGTATTTTTCAAAAACTCCTCCGAGCCAGCATCTTCCTAGATTTCTACAACTGCGAAGCTAGAGATAAGCATCATTGTCTGTATTTGTATCTTTTTCCATGAAAAAGTAAAAAACTGATTCTCTGGTGCTAAGGCTTGGTCACTGTCAATACAGTTAATACATGCCCTGGGACATAGGCTCAACACTTCTGAATCCCAGTCTGTCACCTTTCAGCAGGCAGTGTTGGACGCTGCTTTCCATCTCAGCCTACTTCAAGCAAAGTAACAGTTACTGAGTACTTACTTCCTACAAGCTCAATTCTTAAATAGATTTAGAAAATGCATTCATGTGCCAAACTGAAAACACATTGTGAAACACTTGTTTGTACTGACTCACAGCTCTGAAATACTACATACTCCACATACTATTAGAAAGCTGTCTGTAATGGCTTTTATGTATGAATTTGGATTTACCTGGAACGATTTCAGTCAAGTCTGCTTACTGAACTTTCTAGCTCAGGTAAAATATCCATTTTCATCAGTCATAGTTCATTAACTATGCAACACTCCAGTGGCAACCTTGTCCATGACCCAGTGTGGTAGTGACTATTCAGTTTTTCATGGTGATTCCTGTACTGTGCATCTTAAACAACATGGGTTTCATTAATCACTGAAGACTTAAAATTTTGTATGCTCCACCTCTCTGGGGATCCTGGCTCTGAGCCTCATTTTGATGACTCAAACCAGCAAGACTTCTTCTCTTCTTCTCAGAGGAGTAGCTACCATGCCTACTTCTTGTGTAAGGTTTATATTTGGAAAGAGCACAGATCTCGGGTAAATGCTCCTGGGAATCCATCTCCCCAAGTGTACATCCTAAGGTGTACTAGTTACACAACATACTGAATATTTGGCCCAGTTGCAATGAAAGCTAGAGACTTGGTTTTTTTTTTTTTTAGATGATTAGTGTTTCATAATTATGGAGCAGATACTCCTCTGCCATCCCATCATATATAGACATACAGAGGCACAAACTATGACCAATGCTAACCTGGGAGTTCTCATACTGCAGTTGAGTTTTAGTGAACTGACAGGTGACTCAGTTGATGAAAAGGGGTGACTAGAAATATACCAGTTGTAGAACTGAGTGCAAAGAAAGTCTTAGTGGGGATACAGGCTTATCCTCCTAAGTTGGTAATGACAACAATGATAATGGTGGTGACAAGGATAACTGTTTAAATTGTATTGTAGAGTATGTATAACGTAGGTGATCACATAATGATCTTGGCCTTCAGTTTTCACATGGACCCCATGTTCATGGACCTAGGGCAGGTTATTCAGTCTTGTTAATTTACATGATCAAAGAAGAAAAAAATGCTATTATTAAGGGAGTAAAAGCGTTCTACTTTAAAAATCATAGATAAGGGCCATAGAGAGGGCTCAGCAGGTAAAGGTACATGCTGACAAGACTGATGACCTGAGTTCAGTCCCTGGAACTGGAATAGTGAAAAGAGAGAGCCTATCTCCACAAGTGCCTCGTGACACATGTGCATGCACACATATACACTAAATAAATAAATAAATAAATAAATAAATAAATAAATGTTTTGTAACTTTTTATAAATTGGGTGACATATGAAAAAATAAGTTACCAAATAAATACAATTAAATAATAATTATATGGAAAATGGCAAGAATCATAGGTTCATGCAGGTTAAACGACTGTTAGCAAAGATAAAAATATAAACAGCCAACATTTGTGCCCTGATTTTGGTTGCACATGATAGAAATCCTAGTTCAATGTGGTTAGAATGCAAATGAAATGTATTGGTTTAGAAGGCCAGGTGCCTCTGTGAATGACTTCATGAGTACTCGGACACAGATCAATAGACAGCATCCGTGCACAATTTGTCACCTTTGGCTTATTCTGTTGCCTGTTGCTCTCATTCATCTTAAGCTCCACCATAGCAGCTAGACAGCATCAGCAGCTCTAGCCCTGCATTTTTATTATCGCAGATCAAGTTGGAAAGGAAAAACAAAAGCACTGTCCGGTTTCTAGAAGTCCAAATAAAAGCCTTGTTAGACTAGCTCTGGTTGGGCCATTGCACTCAGCCCAGTGTCTATAGCTCCTGGCTCTGGTCTGTCTGGGCCAGGAACTTCAGTCCCCGTGCCAACAGCAGAAGATGCATCACCAGAGCCACGTGAACAAAACTTGGAGATGGTCATTTCTCAGAAATAAATCTGAACACTTTCCAGAAAGGTAACTAACTTTATGCCAGGCTCCAAAGCAACAGATGTCTGTTAGAGTTGTCAGAAGTGGAACAACTGAGCACTCGCCTATGCTATGGGCAAAGCAAACAGAGGGTAACATTTCGGAAAGATGATCGTGTGTTGCATACCATAAACCTTCAAAAATATTCACATCTTTGTATCTAGCATTTTCATAAATATTTAATCCAGAGAAATAATTAAAATATTTGTGCAGAGTGTACATACAAAGTACATGAAATGCAAAAGATTATTGCCGGGCCTGGTGGCGCATGCCTTTAATCCCAGCACTTGGGAGGCAGAGGCAGGCGGATCTCTGTGAGTTCAAGGCCAGCCTGGTCTACATAATGAGTTCTAGGCCAGCTGGGGCTACAGGGAGACCCTGTTGCTAAAAGACACACACACACACATATATATATATATATGTTTATTTACATTAAAGTTGGCTATAAACAGAAAATGTAAATTAATGAGTGTCTGTCAATAATAACACACAAGTACATAAATAGAATCACTCAGCAAAGTATCCAAAAGGCTACAGAAAAGATTTTAAAAATGATTCCTTTTGCATTTGGGACTGCATACAGTGTGCCGTTTCCTGTTCTGTGGGATTTGCATCTCTAATTTTCCTATCATGATCGTGAATTTTTCCTTCTCCCTTTCACACACAAAAAAATTATTTTTTAGTGGTCATGGTCCACAGCATCTCCAGTTAGAACTCCTAAGCATTTGATTAATTTATAGATGGCAATATTTATGATACAGAAGAGCAGTTAGGATTGAGAGGAAAGATGGAAGGGAGATGTGCTTTGTGGAGGGAGGGGAAAAAAGCCTTTTCCTCATGAAATTACTTCTATTTACAGGTGTCAGCCTTCCAAGGAGGTATGTTTATCTTTGACATATATTTGAGAAGAACGTAACTAATCATTGTGGTGTGACCATATCGCAGATCACCCTGGACTCGGAATCTACCCCTCAAGGTAACCCAGAGGAAACCTCACTTTATAATGACTGTTGAAAACACTGTCAAGAGTCATTCTTGTTCTCTGAAAGTTAATGGAATAAATAGAGAAAGAAAGAAGACTGAAACCTGGTATTGGAAGCTGTTCACCCGAACTATCAAGAGGACGATATGCTAGTTAAATTTAAACCAATACTTTCATTTTTGAAATACTTCCCCAGTGGCTTGCGGTAAAACATTTCATACAGTTATCAGAAACTTGGATTGTACCCAAACACTATAAATGTCTAATATTCTTTCAAAATTTCAGTTAAAGTTTGTTTTTTAAAGGCTGAAAATAAAAACAGGGAACTATTTTGGGTGGAGAGCAGGTATTCGCTAATAGAATCATCTGGAAACAGAAATTTCTGCTAACACACGCACTATGAGTCGTTGTTCCTGGGCTCCTACCTGCTCACATGTGTCCAGGACAATGTATCTGAGAAGCATTTCTTGCTTCTGAACAGGAAAAGCAGTTGCCAGCAGCTGCCTCCTTTCCCAAAGTTGTATGCTTCTAGGCTTTCTCCAGTGTGGAATATTTTGCTTAACTATTTCTTTCTTACACCTATGAACTCTAACTTCTACAGATAATGTACTTACCACAAGAAATGGTAGCAAACAAGGAAATGAAATAAGCCACTTGGTTGAATAAACACATCCTTGAAAAAAAAAAAAAACCAACAACAACAACATGTAACTGCTAATTTCAGGTCACATTTAGCATATATTTAAAATGAGTTTTAATTTAATAGAGACATTGTTTTTTTTTTTATAAATTCCTAAATTACAAATCAAAGCACAGGATTAACAGCATATAGAATCAGGATTTGAGGGGAACATTTTATATATAGAAACAAAGTGTTTATAATGGTTCCCAAGATGCAAAGTGAGACTTCTAGACTGCTATTTGTGTTTATTGTTAATTTTACAGTTCTCTTGCTTTTAATTTAGGAAAGGAAATTGTTATCAAAGGGTTAAACATTTATAAAACCTCTTAATTTTTGCAGAACTATTATTATAAATAAGGGTAATAATACTACTGCACAATCTGTACATAAAAAAATCTCTGAAAATATTCAAACCATTTAAATTTTAAACAAGTAAAAAAAAATCATCCTTGGGTTTAAAATAGTTTATATTAACCTTGAAAGGTTTATATTAACCTTGCATATTTTATTTCTTCCTACTAACTTTACATTTAGTTACTATTTTTTAATTTGCATGTGTGTGTGTGTGTGTGTGTATGAGTGTATAGTACTTTGATCAGGTATAAAAGAACTTTAAAATATATATTACATTTGTAAGTACAAGAATCTTATATAAAGATGCCAACCACCCCCAAATATTACACAAATTCAATGCTATTCAAGTAAAATTCTCAGTAGTTATTTGGGGAAATATTAGTTTTAGATCTTGGAATCTAAAACCAAAAAATTGCCATAACAGTAACATTTTGAAAACAATTGATTGGAAATAGCAATGTTATAAAACATTATATATATACCATATAGCTAAGAATTAAAATTATATAACGAAAATGTAGCCAGAGAAAGTAATGACTGAAAAATTTACAAATTAGGAACTAGACCTATGTACTTGGAAAAAATAACATTTTATATTAAAATGTTTCTCCATATAAGAACAATTCCTTCTAGATTTTCTAAATATGAGGAAAACCAATAGATTTTTCATAAAAGTTATACATTAAAAAAAATCAAGCACCAAATTTAGAGGTGATCAGAATAATAGAAAATTGCTACCTGAGAGCCCAGTTGCTTTCGCGGTTCCTGCGAGGAGAGGGCGTCTCTTGCCACTTAAAAATGAAGAGTTTTCAAGCTCTCCTAATGTGGCACAGCAGGCAATATTTGCTTGGCTCCAATATTGATACTGGGCTTCTGCCATCAATGTCAACTGTTTGGCCAGTCAATATAGTCCATGGACATCTTACTCCCAGTTCAGGCATTTAATATGTAACAATTCCAGGGAGTAGTATGAACAAGACGGTTGAGTTGGAGCTCCCAGCACTCATCCCTCTACAAAAACATCAACTTAAACAATTCTTCATGCAAAAACTGCCTTCTCAAGGCTAAGGAATCCAGGTGATAGGTTTACAGCATCCTAGGCATCCATGTGAGGGTGCAGAAATGAGAAAAGATGCATTAAAGTATGCAGGAAGTTTCACCTTAGCCACAATCCAAACCTGGTGACACAGCAGGAGACACGCTCTGCATGAAAAAAGAGAGCCATATAAACATCTGCTTTCCATAGGTCTCAGCACTAAGCCCACCCCAGTAAATCCCAATATCAGGCTAGCCCCCCAGCTCCATGCAGATACCTTCAAAATTAGTCACCAGATCTACCCCAGTGGAACCTTTTTGATTATGGTCCCTTTTGACTCAGGAACAGATCCTTACTCACATGATCAGGTACTCAGTAACCCTAAGGTGATGCTGGACACCGAGGGCTCATTTCAGTGTCAAATCATCCTTAAAACACAGCATTTTAAGTCAGTTGTCACACATAAGTTCCCTAACTCCATTGAAACCAGGAGTCAGACATGAACCCTGTGGACTCAGTTGTAAAGAATACCCCAGTGGGCCTCAATGCCAGGCTAGTTTCTGTGGACCCAAGATTTAGACCCAGTCTTGCACATTCAGGCATGAGGTCAACCAGTTTGAGGACTCTAGCCATTGGCAAACCTGACTGATGGGTTAATTAATTAATGGCTTTGCTTGCTAAAGCAACTAAATATAGTTCCAGGATATGTAAGACAGCTCAGTAGGTAAAGGCACTTGTACTTGCTTACAAACCTGATGGTCTGAGTTCAATCACACAGAAGCCACATGGTAGAGGGGGAGAACCAACTTCTGAAAATTGTCCTCTGACCTCTGCATGTGCACCATCGCATGTACACATCTGCACTCCCACACACATGCACACACAATAAATAAATGGATTAATTAATTAAATTGAAAATTGTATTTTTAAAAGTTGCCTATCTCTTAAAAGGTGCAGATACCAACAGAAGCCAGGAGATCACAAATAATCAGGGAAAAATAACATCCTCAAAAGAGGAATTAAAGCATCAGTAAGGGATCCTAAAGAAATAAAGGTCTGTAAATTGTCTGATTAAAAATTCAAAATAATTGCCTCAAAGAAGTTCAGTGAGCCACAGAACAGCACAGATTAATGACTAAACAAAATCAAGACAACAATGGACAAATGAAACAGTTCAACAAAGAAACGATCAGCAAGCTTAGCATTACTCAGCAACGAGAACAAAATGAAACAAGAAGTTTTAAAAAATGAAGACAATCTAGAGAACTTATCATCATCACATCACACAAACCAATGTGGATTCTTACAGTTCAGAAATAACAAAACAGAAAAATGGGTAGCAAACTTAAAGAAACAACAAAATTCCGCAAATACGAAGAAGAAAACCAACATCCAGATAAATCTATGGACCCCAAAGAAAGCAAACATGTTAAATAGGAATTATTTCTCACTAGTACACATTATAATAAATATCTCAAAGTAAAAAACAAGTGGGTTTTTTTTTTGTTTATTTTTTATTTTTTTATTTTTTTTGGTCTTTTTGAAATAGGGTCTCCCTGTAGCCCCATTTGGCCTGGAATTCACTATGTAGACCAGGCTGGCCTTGGACTCACAGAGATCCACCTGCCTTTGCCTCCCAAGTGCTGGGACCACAGGTGTGGCTAAGTCAAACACAAGTTTTAGCAAACTCAGGAAGATTGAAATTATGTCAGGCATTTCTCCAAAGATATTGATATGGAACTAGAAATCAGTCATGGGGAAAATTGGATAAATCACAAACATGTGAAAATTAGTATATTCTGGAAAAAATCAGTGAGTCAAAGAAAGAATTGTAAAAGAACAAAAATATATTGAAACAAATAAAAATGGATGTATAGTGTACCCAAATGTATGTAACGCAGCAAAAACAGTTCTAAGAAGGTGGTTTACAGCAATAAAACTTGTGTTAAGAGCACAAAACAACTGTGAACCTAAAAATTTTATAGCCACTTTTGAAAGAGATGCATCTTTGCACTGGAAATTGTTATTGAGTACGTTAAAGCTGTAATGAAATGCTTCTAATAAAAAAAGATCTAAAATAATATAACTTCGTATTTAAGGAAACAAGAGAGAAAAACACAAACTAAGCCTAATGTCAGCAGAGCAGAAAATCAGCAGAAAGAAGTGAAATAGACTTATTTCATTATTTATTTAATCATTATTTTATTTAATTTTTAATAATGACATGATTAGAAGAAGCATTTCACTACAGCTTTACCATATTCAGTAACACAGTCCAGAGCAAGAGTACATCTCTTTCACAAGTGGGTACAAGTTTCTAGGTTCACAGTGGAATTAATACAGTTATACAATATTGAACTCAGTATATGCACTGTAAGACATTAAATTGAATGAGTTTTTAACTTTTAAAAAGATCTCCATTTCATTTTAGAATATATTGTTCTTGCAGAAAGACTCATTGTTTTTGCTAATAACACTGAGGTGTTGGCAGATGCATCTCTAATCTGTATGTATCTGATTATTACTAGTCATAATTGGTTGCACTTGGATCCTTGGCACCTGTGTATGTCTATAAAGTTTTTGATTTGTGTGTGTGTGTGTGTGTGTGTGTGTGTATGTGTATATCACACAGAGCATTCCAAACCATCTTATTCAAATATACACCCACTTCCCAGGTGGCACCCTCCCATAGCCTCCCTCCGCCCACTAGAGCCCTTATACTCTGATATCCCTGCTACTATCTGCTGTGTTGTTGGCACCCCCAGCCATTCCCCACTACTTGCCCTTCTGGTGGATCTAGTCAGCCTATATAGAGGTCTTTGTTTTAGGAGGGTCAGCTGTTCCTCATCTAACAACAATCAGTTGCCAATAATCCTTTAGATAAGATTAGGGTCTGCTGTTCATTTTCCCAGTTCTATCCTGAGTTACTATCTGGTAATCCCTTTGGGCACCCTGGCCAACAACTCAAAAGAAGGTATCTCCTATCTGGCATTGTTGCTTGTTATGTAGTCTTTAGCTATACATATGGACTCCTAAG